AAAAGGAGTTATATTTGCGTATATAAATTGAATTGGAAGTTGACTTAAAGCTAATGATTCTCTGAAGATTAATGTTAAAGGAAATGCAAATGCCTCTGTAGAGTTCTTTAGCATGGCAAGGTAAAATTTATCAAGTCTGAAGGCTTTATTTTTATTAAAACTCTGGAGTCTGTTCAAAACATTGTTATAATAGCTTAAAGGGACTCCTAACTGCCGAGACAAGTTGTGTTCATATTAAAGAAAATGTTAAAAAAAAACATTAGGGCTGAATTTTTTTGATTAAAACTAAATAATGAATGTACATCATTAATTTTAAAATTCACGTTTTAGTCAATGCTCGCCGTCTCCATTTTTTTTTGGTTCTCGGAGTCTGTGTAATGTTAGCCGCAATCTGCAGATTTGATAATTTATTTTGTGCGTGTTTAATTCATAACAGTTTTAGTGTATGGCGTCATCGTATAAATTTTTTTTTTAAGATATTGAATTATTTTTTTACCATAATCACCAAATCATTTTAATTGTATATCTTTTTACTAAATCCCAAAAAAAAGTTTGTGATACAATTAAAAATTAAATTTATTAAATTTATAAAAAAAAATATTAATATATAATGAATATTTGCAGTAAATCATACTGGTTTAAATAATACAAACAATATAAACAAGGTACTAAAATAATAATTTTACTAAAGCATATAAATTAATCTAAAGTATAAACTGAATAAAAAACAAGTGACTTGAATAAAACATATAAACTGAACTAATTAGAAAATAAATATTAAAAGGTTATTTTTTTGATAACCATACAAATCAAACTAAATTAAAGTTAAAACAAATATTTGTACTAAAATATACAAAAAAATGTTATAATATAAGTATAAAAACGAAGAATCACATTAAATCATTCGCTACCAGCCGAATGAAAATCTTTTTGTAGCAACCGCACATTTTTTTTGAATAAAATTTGAATGGCATAATATTGACAATTAATTAAAATTCGAATAGTAAATCTCTTTAAAAGCATAACAAACTTTATATCAATAGTAAGTTAAACAAAAGTACTTTTTAATTAAATAAGTTTTTAACACGCATCATTAAACCATAAGAAATGCAAAGTGCTTAAAACAATTGTTTTTATAAATAGTAACTAAAACATTAAGTCCGAAACAAAATTCATTTAATGAATAAAAATAATATTTTTTCTTCAAAAGTCTTTGGTAATTACTTAACTAAATACTTAACACTTATACAAGTTAAAGTTTACAGTGTTAACACTGTTTTATTTTATAACTTATAAATTAGTTATAAAATATAACTTTATAAATTTAAATAAGTTTTTTTTATGAAAAATCATTCAATATTTTTTAACTTTGTCAAGTGATAACTTTTTTATAATTACACAATATAGCTCTTATTTTTTCTTATGTAGAGTTCTTATTATTTATTATGTAGAGTATTAATTAAATCTTAAGAACAAATTATGTGTCTAGAATGGAAATTAATGTTCTAAACAAGACAAGTTGTAAAGCATACTCGAAATCCGCTACCAGAGGCTTGCGGTAGTGAAAGAATTAAACCATAACTAAATGTAAATTAAACATAAAGTGAACAACTCTATTAAACCATATGAACTAAATATAAAACGAGAAACCGCATCATACTGCCTTTTTTTTCTCTGTCTGCGAATTCTAATAATCACAAAATATGTATAATTGTCGTGATTATTACTACTTCTAAAACAAAGTAGTAATAAAGCAAGTAAAAAAAAAATATAAAAATATATATATATATATATATATATATATATATATATATATATATATATATATATATATATATATATATATATATATATATATATATATATCAAGTCTGCAGATTGCGGCTAACATTATGCAGACTCCGAGAACCAAAAAATGGAGAAGGCAAGCTTCGACTAAAACGATAATTTTAATTTTGTTGGTATGCATTCATTATTTAGTTTCAATCAAAAAAATTCAGCCCAAATGTTTTTTTTAAACATTTTCTTTAACATGAGCACAACTTTTCTTTTCATTGTTTTCTTGCATGAGTTTTAATTTTCTTAGGTCACATTCATTCCTTGATTGTCTTTTATCATCCAAAAATCCAAAATTTGCAGAGGGAGAATTGCATTTAAGTCATTTGCAGAGTAGGGAGTTATTTTATGTTTCTCATTTTTCCTCAGCATTATAGTAAATTTCTCTACTTAGAAGAGCCTCACTACTTTCTGGATATCTACCCATATTTAATTTTTCACTAAATCACTTTATCTACAAGCTGCTTTTAGTATCACTTGCGTCTACTTGACTCAATGGCTCCATTGTTCAACTGTATACAATAATGACAAAAACAATAGAATGTGTGTGTTAGGCCTTGTGATGAATAAAAAATGCCTAATGCATAAGCCTAATGGAATTTTTGATCTTAAAATTCTTTTTATTTGCTTTTCATATTTATTAGCATTAACTTTTTTTTAACTATCATAATTTTCTAAATTATGATAAAAAAAAGTTTATTATTGCAAAACTAGTTTAGTTAAATAATCAACTCAAAACAATATTGTTATATAATAATGTAATTATGTTTGTTTTGCTTCCAGGTTTTAAATTATAAAATAATTTTTATAATATATATATATATATATATATATATATATATATATATATATATATATATATATATATATATATATATATATATATATATATATATATATATATATATATATATATATATATATATATATATTGTTATTATTATTATTATAATTGTAATTGTTTAATAAAAATATGCTAATATTTGATTATATTTTATTTCTCAAATAAATTTACAATTTATCTTAACAATTATTTTGTGTTTTTAAAAAGTCGGCAAGTAATAAACTAAAAGCTTTAAATATTGCAGAACAAAAATCGTGCATTTGTTAATTTTTTTCTGCCAGGGATTTTATGTAAATTTTTTTTCTATATAATGGTTGATAAGCGTCTTCACTTGTGTTACTAATTTTCACTTATTATTAAAATGTACACTTTGTGCATTTTTGATGTTTACAAGGGAATTTTAATTCTAGTAAAATAAAATAAAAAAGTGAAAAAAAGCCATATAGGTTTAAACAAGAGAAATTTCCTGCAAAAAAATAAAATTTGCTTATTAAACAATTTATAAATAATAGTTGGGCTATAGTTTAAAACAATTCTGTGAAACATGGTTTATCGAAATATGTGCATTATATGGTTAAATATAAGTAGTTTTAATTTCTAAATAAACTTTAATACTGAATATTTTTATTAGATTTTTGTTATATTATAGTATACTTTTTAAAAATTCACAAAGTAAATAATTATTTATTTAATTACAAATATATAATAAATTATTTTTTTATGATTTTGAATGAATATAAATAGTAAAATAAATTATTTTTTAAACAATTTTTTTTATTATTGATCTCAAAATAAATAAAATTTATATATGTAAATAGTTGCTAAAATTGGGTGTCTCAGGCATCCCTAAATTTAATATTGTATGCATAACATGTATATTTCTTTGTCTTGCCTGGTTTCACTTCAATATATTTTTTCGCCTTCCCAGATTTCCCTGTCTGTTTAACTTTAAACTGGACTAAGTCTGTTTTTAATAAAAGTTTAAATATAGCTGCAGTTTTGATAAAAGTTCCAGTATAGCTGCAGGGCCATGGTTGTTTACTATTGGAAGATTTAAGCTTTCTATTTTTTTGTTTTTTAACCATGAATTAATATATTAGCCAAAGTTATAAAACATGTTTGTTTTTTATAAAATAAAATAAAATCATGTTGATAGTTATGCACCTAAGGTTTTGAATTTATTATTCTTATAATAAATAATAATAAATAAAAGTTTAAATATAGCTGCAGTTTTGATAAAAGTTCCAGTATAGCTGCAGGGCCATGGTTGTTTACTATTGGAAGATTTAAGCTTTCTATTTTTTTGTTTTTTAACCATGAATTAATATATTAGCCAAAGTTATAAAACATGTTTGTTTTTTATAAAATAAAATAAAATCATGTTGATAGTTATGCACCTAAGGTTTTGATTTTTTTTCAATTTATTATTCTAAAGCAATCAAAAAACAAAAATCAGTCTGATCTTTCATTTGGCAGTCCCATCAACTACAGTTGAAATAATTGTTTCCTTACTTGATGTCTGGTACTATTGTTGTTTCTTAAATGCAATAGTAGCCTGATAATAACACATTTCAATTGATATCTGTGATAATTAGTAAATAGGTTATAAATTGTTTATTCAAATATATAAATATTTTGTCCAGATTGCATTTAATATTATGCTATGAATAATCCTTAAAATCAATGAACCAGTATCAAATATCTTTATTCAATGATTATTGCTATAAATAAACTTTTCTGAAGTTCAGTCTATAAAAATATATAATTTTTATTCTATTATATACTTATTTATTTTTGCTTGTTAAAAACTATATGTTTGTTATAAAAAAGCACTGGTTATTAGCATATTAAAATCAAAACCTTTAGTTTTGTGCATTTATGCATCAATGTAATGTGTACACGCAAAGTGTCTATTGTGTGTGTATGTGTTAATTTTATTTACAAATAACTTGTAATTATAAATATTAGGGCTAAACATTGTATTTCATCTGATTTTAACAGTTTCTGTCACCTGATTTTAACAGTTTCTGAAATATAACAAATTACTTTATTTATAAATTCTTTTAGTTATATTATATATTTGTTTTATGTTAATATACCTTATTTAAGCATTCTTTTGTTTAGGTTTATTGTTGTTGTTGTTTTTTATTTTTAACTTACTATAGCAAGTTTATTGTATAAAAAATAAAAAATTGTTAAAAATAAATAAAAATTATAACAAAAAAAAATATAAAAACTTTCAACAGTAATTTAATTACTGCTTCTCAAGTTAATAATTTCTTTATATTATAATTTTATATATTTTTGTATACAATTTTAGATATACCTGAGTTAGAGAAAATGATAAGAGAATTAAAAAGAGGCTCAAATATGCTTTCTTCAAAATTGGTTCGTCTTCTAAAGCAGCGAGATAGAAATGCTCATAAAATACAGGAAAATTTCAATATCTTAACAGCTCTTCTACAAGCAGTTTCACCTAAACGCAGTAATGTATTATTTATCTATATTAGTATTGAAGAGTATTTTATGTGGAATATTTTCCTATTTTTATTTCACTGTTTTTGATAAAAGATGTCATAGTTTGTCAACATTATAGTTTGTTATATATACTTTGTTTCAGTTATTTAGAGCTTGAAAGGATGTGAATGCTGTATAATATATATATATATATATATATATATATATATATATATATATATATATATATATATATATATATATATATATATATATATATATATATATATATATATAAATATATATATATTTTTTTATTTTAATTCACCTCCTCAAGGCCGAGAAGGCCACTACAGGCGAGTAGGCTACTTACTTGTGGTTATAACCCTCTCTCACCTCTATAACTCCAAAACACGAACCTTGACGAACAAGGCCGCTGCGCGGAGAAACAAGTTGAGCGCGGTACTACCAGAGACATGGTGAGGATTGAACTCGAAACCACTCGTTTATGAAGCGAGCGCTCTACCACTACACCACTACCTATGTATATATATATATATATATATATATGTATATATATATATATATATATATATATATATATATATGTATATATATGTATATATATATATGTATATATATATATATATATATATATATATATATATATATATATATATATATGTATATATATGTATATATATGTATATATATGTATATATATATATATTTATATATATATATATATATATATATATATATATATAAATATATATATATATATATATATATATATATATATATATATATATATATATATATATATATATATATATATATATATATATATATATATATATAAATTAGTAGTTGGTACCCGTGAAACTAGTCATGATAGATCTATATTCTTTACCTTATCAATTATTCTTTTAAACTGACCATTATCACAAAAATGTCATTTTAGCACACAAAAAATAAAAGTACAATATAAATTATACAGATATGGTTTACTAAAAGTATAAATACGTTGGGTATTGGGCATGCTAAAAATTGACACATTAAATTTTAAGACACCTCTAAAGAGTTTAATATGTACAATTAAATAAAAACTTCTACTAAGGATGTAACTTTTTATTTTTAAAGTAATTTTTATTACAATATTTCATGGGAGTATAAATACCCTCATTATCAAGTAATGAGGCCGTTACTTTATCATTCTAGTATCAGTCATGGCACAGTTGTAGCACATTTGCCTCAGAATCAAAGGATCCATGGTTCAAACTCCACCTCTGGGCAAGTTTTGCGAGATTGGTTTGCAAAGAGGCATGAACTTTCAATCAAATGCTCATCCGCGGTGCTCTGTAATAAGACCAAAGGACTTCTAGGGGCACCTAAATAAATTAGATAAAAAAAGGTATAATATAAATATAAAAAACCGTTAAAACCAAAACAAAACAAAAAACAAATCAATGCAATAGTTTTTTTTGATTCAAATATTTAAACAGTTTTTCAAAAGTAAATTGTGATGTAACCTCTGTCATCCTGATTCATGTCTATCTGGAGATAGACCTGGTTTATCACTATCTGAAGGTGCACATTCGTGGTGTTGTATTTCAAATGCCTTCCTCACTTTTCTGTTAAAATTTTTACATCTACTTTTAAAGTATTTTTATTGTTCCATGCAAAATTGCAGTGACAATTTTTTTGAAAGTTCCGCTATTGCTGAATGATCCCATTTTCCTAATTATGACTTTTTCTGATGTTAGTAAATGCAAGATAAGATTTTAAATTTTGTTTCACTAATATAATATTTTTTGCAGGAGTATTCATGTTTGTACACACCTGGGTAAGAATTATAGGAAGAGGAGGTTTATTTATTTGTTTATTTTGTTGAGGTGTGTGTGGGGGGGGGGGGGAAGTATATACAACATATACTTACCCTCTTCCTTCCCCCCTCCTCCACTCTCTTTCCTCAACAAAATTAAAATAAAATAAATAAATAAACCTCCTCTTCCTATATTCTTATAAATGATTTATAAATTATTTATAGTAAAAGTTTTTTAATTAAATAAAGATTAAAACATCAGTAATTGTTAACATCTTAAATAAACAAATTAGTTTTAATATAAACATACAAATACTATTATTCAGATATTCGTTTATTTAAAGAAAGGTAAACTTTTAAAATATGTGTGTTTTTTTCATTAGTATTTATATCTATATATATATCGTTAATATCTAATTATATATATATATATATATATATATATATATAATATATATATATATATATATATATATATATCGTTAATCTAAAAAAACACATGATCTAGAGTTTGCTTTGTGAAACCTTGACTTATATTTATGATCATCCAATGGAGCTAGCTGAACTTGAAGTATAAATTTCCTCTTACAGACAAAAGCTTGTCTGCAATGGAACTTTATTTTACATTCAATCAAGTTTTATTGCACAGCTTTAAGATCGAATTTATTTATAAGTGATATTACAATTTTAAAACAGTCATGACATGTATTTAAAAATAATTGTATATTTTTCTCTTAGAGATAAAAAATATCACAAAGCCTAAAAGAAAAAGAAAATATTTTAAAATAATAGACAAAATATGCTTTTATAAAGCAACAACAACTAAACAAAGTTACATTTTGATAAAAATAAATAAAACAAAAGATTGCAAATTAAAAAAAAAAAATGCATACTAATTTTTTTATTTTCTTGCATATGTGTTTAAAAATGCTCAGTGTCAAAAAATGCATAAAGGGGTACTACTACTAAGTATCATATTATGCAATCAATACATATAATTTAATATACATAGCAGCCTTTGTTGAGAAGAGTTATGCTGTACACATTTTATGTGTAAAATGCTAGTTTTACCTATATGTTGTGATTTACATTACGCCAAAACTGTCATCTTTAGGAAAATTAAAAATGTTGTTTGATTTATGCATTTATTTAGGAAACATTATTTCAAAACTAATTATTTTAAAAAAACATTTTAGCTGCAATTGTAAATAATTAAATTTTGATTAAAATTAGTGCATTTTTTGATAAAAAAAAACAGATGCTTAAATTACTTTTTATTAGCATAATAATTTCCAGTATTAATAACAATTTCAAAGCAAAAAAAAGTGCTTTAAATTTAAAGTTTTAGTTTTAATCCAATTTATTTGATTTAAAAATAACTTTTTATCTTTATTTTACATTCAATGGGTATAGTTTTAAATCAATGATTTTTTTATATACATTATACTTTTTTGCTATGCCGTGTAATCTTGTGGCCTAATCAAAGCCTGCATGAAACTTCATACATGACTATTAAATAGCTATTTGAAGGGCTTCAGAAAATTAACTGAAGGTCTTAGTTTCATATATAGATAATAGCAGATACTATCTAGATATGCTGTCTCAAAACAATGTTTTTTCCTACCAATCATAAACTTGCGGTGTTTCTTTATATTAAGACAGTTCAAGTCTTGACTTGTTTTTATTTCAAACTAAAGATTGTTATGGTGATAAACTATGATTGTTTCACCAATAGTAATTTTAAGTTCCTGTTTTTGAAGTTTTATTGTTTAAAAAGTTTAATTAGACTGTCAAAAATTGATTTTGGGAGATCAAATTTATTTTTTTCAAAAAATGATCATTGATTGATGACCATCTGTTTTTTAAGCACTTTATATATATATATATATATATGTATGTATAAATATATATATATATATATATATATATATATATATATATATATATATATATATATATATATATATATATATATATATATATAAGGTGTTAGCCAGGAAAATATATTTTATTACATTTTCTTGATATTGGAAATATTTTTTATTTTTCTACAAAATATTGGGAATCTTTATTGATATTGTCCTATTGCTTTAAAAGAAAAAAAAAGATTATTGAATTTTGGGAATTTTTAATCCATTGGGAATTCTGTGGTATACATGGTGCTATGAGGATGACTAACACCCTGGTATATTTTTATGTTTGTAAATATTTTATTTAGGAGTTGATACTCGAATTCGATTTTCGTTTATACCTCGGTCAGGAACACGTGGATTTCGTCAGGTAACTAAAAACTTTAACAATATGTTAACAACTCATATTAACTATGTACCTATATTTACTTTTGTTTACGTTTTACTTTTTTTCTTTCACAATTACAATTTTGTTTTATACAAACAGTGGGTCGATGCTATAAAATCTATTGCAAGAATTCATCCTGGAATCCCAGTTGATTGGAGAAAGAGAGTAAGTAAGAAAATTTAATATATGATTTTAGTAAATTTTTATAATAAGAAAATTATAAAACTAAAAGTTTACTTCGGTTTTGGAAAAAATACAAAACAATTTATAGTAACTTATTAAATTTTAATTTTATTTTGTATTTTTTAATCTAAAAAAAATAAATTACAGCTAAATTATTTTTAGAAAATGGTAATAAAATATATTTATTACAAAGAATGCATTTTTTCCCTTTCATATATAATGTTTTTCTATTTTTTTAAAGACATGGCTTTCATTGGCTGAATATTTTTTAAAAGATATAGATTGGGAGCAAATAAAAAAACAATGTTTTAATGATCGATGTAATCCTGATGATGATCAGTTAGATAGCCAAATTGTAAAGGTATAGTATTTTACAATAATTGTAAATTATACAAATAAAACATAAGATAATAATGGTAAAAATTATGTTATTGCTGTATCAATGTATTGCTGTATGTATGTGTTGTCTGTCTTACTTGTTTTGAAATTTTCCTCTATTAATCTTTATTTTTGTCTTGACAACAGTCAAAATATGCTTCGTTCGATAAATAATTCTTCTTTATTCTAATGTACTTCATTTCTTCCCTTGGGTGTTCACTGCTCGTGTGTGACCATTCGGCGAATTTTATATGCCAAAGTTTTTTGATAATAATGGTAAAAATAATGTTATTGCTGTATCAAAGTTTTAAATTATTTAATAGGATTTGCATCGCACAGGTTGCGGGTGGTTTTTTGAGCATGATACAACAGAGGATAGAGCTAGCCTTAAAAGAGTGTTACTTGGATATGCTCGTTGGAACAAAGTTGTAGGGTACTGCCAAGGGTTTAATGTCATAGCTGCTTTAATATTACAAGTGATGAATGGAAATGAAGAACAAGCCTTAAAGGTGAGTAATGTATAAATAAATATATAAAAGTTTGTTTTCTTCTGTCTTTTTCAATCTGCAAAAATAAAATTCATGGTCGCTCAAAACTTCAAAGTTTCACACTAATTTGTTTGGTTTAAAAAATTAGAGAACTGAAGAAGATTAACCTTCCAACACCCAAAAGGGGTCAAATTTGACCCCAGCGATAGAAAACCTACAATTTCAGAGTTGTTACTCGCAGCAGAAATGTAATTTCTATTGACTTTGTCTAATAGAAAACGATAAACAAATGTAGCCTATGTAATTTAATTAAAAATCATTGGGGTCAGCTTTGACCCCTTTTAGGCACTCTTGCAAAATGCCTATTTAGGGCGTTTGAAAGTTAAACAACTTATAAATAAAAAAACTTTTAAATTAAGGTCTTTTTAAATACATTTTAAAATATATTTTTCTTTGAGAAATATAAGTATTTGTCTTAACTTTTATATTTAAATGATTGACTTTTTTATTTGTTGGTCGCTAGTGATTATAAAGCGTGTACACAAAATAAATGTGAAAGTAGAAAAATAACTAAAAAAAAGTACTCTTCAATTTTTATTTCTAACCAAGTAATAACTTTAATACAATAATATAAAAAGATCAAAAAAAAATCAAATTATTCCTGTGAGAATCTAATAAAATTTCGAGCTTTTGCTTTGGTGGTACCCATAAGCTTTTGCACAAAATAAGAATTGAAGCCATTTGATGCTTTTTTAAATGATATTTTAATATCTTTAATATTTCTGCAAAGTTTTTTTGTTTTTTTCATTTTTCTTTTAATGATGGCCCAGTACTTTTCAATAACTCTTAATTCTGGGCAGTTTAGAGGATTTTCTGTTTTAGGCACAAATTTCACATTATTATTTTTATACCATTCCAAAGATAGTTCACAATAATGAATTGAAGCTAAATCTGGCCAGAACACAGGTCTCTTATCATGTGATTTAATGAGAGGTAAAAGGTGTTTTTGTAAACACTCTTTAACATATATTTGACCCGAAAGTGTGAATTGAGAAATATAAGGTGCTAATTTTTTGCCACAACTGCAAATAGCTTGCCAAATCAAGACTTTTTAAGCAAACTTGTCGTGTTTTATGTATTTAAATTTCTTATCTGCTTTGCCTCTATATTTGGCAATATAATAGACGGCACCAGGAATTAGCTGATGATCGTATTTGATATAAGTTTCATCGTCTTCAATAATACAGAAATTTTTAGAAATAAAATTGTCATACCACTTTCTACAGCGGGTTTTTGCATAAACCATGTTTATTTCGAACTTTTACAACAAAACTATGAGAAAGTCCATAAATGTTTGTGCGCTCCCTTAGTGAAAGGCTTGGGTTAGTCTTAAAACTGTTAAACAGTTTTCTAACTAGTTTTTTATCTTTAAAACCCTTCTTTCTTCCACCACCAGATTTACGCTTGATCGATTTTGTTTGAGAAAAACGTTTACAGAAAAACGATTACACGACTCACGGTGTATGGATGTATTTACAATGCTTTTGCTATTGAACTGTAGCTACTATTGGGATTTTCCAAATATTTGTGCATAATTTTTTCTCTTATGTCTTCTTCTTTTGTCATTTTTAAAACTAATTTTAAGTTAAATCAAAAAACTAATACATTTTTTTGAAACCACAACACGTTGTAAAAGACGTTTAAAAGATGTTACGTCCGTGTCCATTGGGAACACGTTGTAAACAAAATACAAAACAGTTAAAAAGATTTTAATATAACCACTGAAAAAAAATTACATACTTATTCTTTCACATTTATTTCGTCTACACGCTTTAATTACAAATTTAAAGCATTTTTTTATTTGAATAGTTAATCCGAATAAATGTAATGAATTATCTCTCTTAAATTATTATCTTGTAAATTTAGTTTAGATAAAATATTATCTTGTAAAAACTTATTCATTGTAATAAAACAACTTTAATAAAAATTTGAATTTGTTTGAAGCAATTTTTTTTTATTGATGTTACTAAATAACTGCAGGATATTGCTAGAATCTGTTTCTTTACAGACTGGAATCAAATGTGGAACTGAAATCCAAGCTGTAAAAGCAACTTTTGACTGGCAGTACATATTAATATTGTTTACATTTAGATTTGAATTTTGGTGTAAAAATTAGGCTTTTTTAAAGTACTCCATGTTTATTAGTTTAGTTTATTAGTTTATTAGTTAATTAGTTATTTTACTATTAGTATATATAATTATTAATTATTATATTATATAAAAATATATATATTAGTTAATTTATTATATAGTATATATAAATAGTAATTAATTGATTAATGTTTATTAGTTTATTAGTTAATTTTTTATATCCACATTAAAGAGGGCTTTTCTAAAAGAAATCTAAAACTATTTTTTTCCAAAATTGATTTTTATTCTTCATTCAGATTCTTTATCAAAAAAAAGTACAAATCTAACTGTTAGTGAATTTAAATTTAAAATTAAAATTTGTTCCTTTATCTTTATGTATTACAAAATTACTTTATGATTACAAAATTATTGAGATTTGAAAAATACTTGGTTTCATAACACAGGCAACATTTGTTTTCTTCTTAAGATTAAAGAGTTAATTCTTATGTATTTTTGGTCGCTGAATTCGAAAAAGTTATCAAAAAATTCCATCATGTAAGGTTTTTCTAAAAATCGCAAAACGCTGTGGGATTGCCTATTTTAGGGTGCAAAACGGGGTTTATTGCAAAAATATTTATTATTTTATTTATTAACTTATTATAAGATAATTTTATGTTTTGTAGACTGAAACAAAACATTTAGTAATTCATGAAGATAATATTAGTCAGTGTTGAATCATATATATATATATATATACATTGGGATTTTCCATAGTAAGTATGAAAAATCCGGATATATACAAATGCAGAAATTCACAAGGAATTTCCCTTTCATTTATTTATTTCTGTTTCAACTTTTTTAACGTGCATTTCAAAAATGACTTCAAGAGGTTGTGTAAATTCTTCTGAGAGTTTTTGCTATATTTGTGGTGAATTTGTAGTAAAAAAGTAACAAAGAAATATTACTAAATTTGTTAAAAATGTGTGCTTTGCGTATTTTGGTGTGAAGATAAGCAATCAGGACAAATCTTGGGCCCCGCATAGAGTTTGTTCAGGGTGTGTTGAAAGACTTAGAACGTGGTCAAAAGGTAAAGTTAAATCTTTTTGTTTTAGTGTTCCCATGATCTGGAGAGAGCCTCGAAACCACAGCGATGACTGCTACTTTTGTTTGTGCAATGTGCATAGTACCAAAAATAAAAAACAAATTTTTTTATCCTAACATGGAATTGACACTCTGCCCAGTCCCTCACAGACCTATCATTCCTATACCACAAGCATCCCAAAGCCTAAACGAATTGGAAAGTGAATCAGAAGAAAGTTCTAGTGACGAGTTTCAATTAGGCGACTCCAGTAGTCCTCAAAAATTTTCTAAAGCTGAATTAAATGACTTGATCCGAGATTTAGGACTCTTAAAACAATCTGTTGAGTTAGTAGGATCTAAACTGCAGAGAAAAATTTATTGACACCTGGAACTTCTTTTGCTTGATATAGAAATAGAGAAAAATATTTTGAGCCTTATTTTTCTCAATATGGTGAGCTGGTCTATTGTTCCGATATCAATTGGTTAATGTCCATGTTCAAAGTTCAACATATAGCTGAAAATTGGAGACTGTTTATTGATTCTTCGAAAAGAAGTATAAAAGCTGTTTTACTTCACAATGAGAATAAGTACACATCAATACCCGTTGGTCACTCAGTGCATTTGAAGAAAACTTATTTTTATTTGAAGGAAATTTTATATATTTTAGTATAGTTATATTATTACTTATTAACTAATTAACCAATAAGTTTCAATATAACTTATTGTTATATTGAAACTTATTTGCATTGATCTTGAATAAATTAAAGTACAAAGAATTCGTGCGGACAGTTTGTGGGGATCTTAAAGTAATTTCTATGATACTTGGACAGCAAGGTGGTTAAACAAAATTTCCCTGTTTTCTTTTATGAATGGGATAGTCGTGCTAAAACTAAACACTAGAACCAGAAAGTGTGGCCAAAAAGAACATTGAAGGTTGGAGAGAAAAACGTGCACTTTTAATCCTTGGTTGATCCTAAAAAGGTCTTTCTACCACCACTCCATATCAAACTGGCATGATGAAGCAGTTTGTGAAGGCATTGCTAAAAGATGGTGAGACATTTAAATACCTTTTAAGCAAGTTTCCTGATCTGTCTGAAGCAAAGCTGAAGAAGGGAGTTTTTTTGGTCCTGACATTTGTAAGCTAATGAAAGATAACAACTTCGAAAATGTGATGAACTATGTTGAGAGGTCAGCATGGAATTCTTTTAAAGACATAGTTACAAAGTTTCTAGGGAATCAGAATACTCGGACTTTAAAAATATCGAAGAAAATATGTTGTGCAATTTTAAAAATCTGGGATGCTCAATGAGTTTAAAACTCCATTTTTTGAACTCCAATTTGGATTACTTCCCGGAAATTCTTGGTGCAGTTAGTGAAAAGCAAGGTGAAAGGTTTCACCAAGATATAAAAGAAATGGAGAAAAGGTATCAAGGTCGATGGGATACAAATATGATGGGCAACTACTGCTGGATGCTGCATAGCGAAAATGTAACGTCCCACAAAAGTAAAAGCGCTAAACGAAGCTTTGAAACTAAAAAAACTTGATTTTATAAAGCTTTATAGTTGTATATACTGTAAACAAATTTTATGATTTAAAATTTATTAAATCTGTATAATTTTGCAATTTTTTTTTTCTTATGATTATTGTCTATCATAGTAATGTAAGGCGAGTTTTGCCCATATTTTATTTTCGACTTTGCAGAAAATCCTTACGCGATGAGTCGAAATGAATGGTATTGTTGAAATCAGCATACCAAAATACATATAATTCACCCATTCCTAAAAAAAAAAAAAAAGTTTTAATTTAATAAATTAACCTTAATAAATTAACAAATAACCTGTGTAATTAGTTTTTTTTATTTTTCTCAAAACATGTAAAATGTGAGGTTGCTTTTAAAAAGGCGCTCTTTAATTATTCAGCAATAATAAGTTAACATGAGATGAATATATATATATATATATATATATATATATATATATATATATACAAATAGTATTGCGTACTAAGGTAAGCAATCGGACATCATACTGAAATAGCCTGCTGCTGGGGGCTTCAGTACATACATCGACTGACAAATAGCCTGACTTGCAGTGGAGTGCTGCTACATCGACTGAGGGTTTGGGATGGGGCAGCAATCGTTTCATTCATCATTTTTTGTTTTTTTTCTTCTTTTTCTAAAAAAGCCGTATGGGTTAAGGTAAGCAAAAAAAGTGAGCAAATGCTTATAAAAATACGCTTTAGTAAGTGTATGTATATATATATATATATATATATATATATATATATATACATATATATATATATATATATATATATATATATATATATATATATATATATTCCAGATGTAAGTTAACATGTTTATATAAATATATAGAAATTAAAATGTTTATATAAATATATAAACATTTTAGTTTTTATTGTATGTGTGCATATGTGTATCTATTTTTATAAGCCAAAGTAAATGTATGCATGTATGCTTTAGATAAAGTATTTTTTAGGTAATGATATATGTAATTGACTATGTACTTCCACGCAATTATTTTTCAAACAACCTTCATGCCCTATCTGTAGACATGGCTGTATTACGAGATCTGATGAACATAAAGTTACCTGAGTTGGCTCGTTTACTGCAACATCTTCAAAAAGAAGCAATGAACTCAAAATTAAATTCAAGTGCAAGCTATGAGCCACCACTTATAAATATGTTTACTATGCAATGGTTCCTAACTTTATTTGCAACATGTTTACCACGTCATACTGTACTTCGAATTTGGGATTCTGTTTTGTTGGAAGGCTCAGAAGTTTTATTAAGAACAGCATTAGTGTTATGGTCAAATTTAGCATGGTAATTATTATTTTTTTAACTTTGCTTTGTTGGCAGAGAAAATTTATAACCAGTATTCACCAAAACCCTGAGGTTTTAACATCTCTTATTTGTCTGCTTTCATTTATTGAACCTTTTTTATGTTTTTTTCTTTATAATTAGGGCATAGTTGAATCCAAGATCTGGAACTGAATACCCGGGTACCAGTAACTTTTTTTTTGAGATCTCAATCTATTTGGTTTGGGTATTTGGTTCCATGTTGTTTTTCCATAAAATTACTATTTATAATGTTAATTTTGCATACCATTATAGCTTACACATAATTTTAAACTGTTGGACTTTGAAGCATTATATTATTTCAAAGCAATTTAGGAAAATAGTTTTAAAATGACTTAAAAAGAATTTAAAAGCAATGCTCCTGTTTGAAAAAACTTTTGCAAAACTTGTAATGTCATTGTAACAGGCAAAGGAGATGGCACAAGTGTTATGCAAAAGCATGTAAAGATTAGGCCTAAAATAAAATTGCCATTATTAAAAACAAATCAAAGTTCATCCCAAAAAGATATTGGAAATTTCGTACAAGCAAAAGATACTACTTTGTACAAATAGGTCTCATTTCGATTGATGGACTTTCATTTAACACTGTTGCTAAGTAAGAGGTAACAAGAATTTGCTTTAGCTAAAAGACAAAAAGTACAGGCTTGGTCTACTAGAATTGTATTCAATAAAAACGTGCTACTACTTTGCAAACTAGAAGCACGTTTTTATTGCATCAAACTATTATAAAGCAAATTTTAATGGTTAAACTAAAAAGGTAAAATATATTTATGAAGAGGAAGAGAAGCTGCTTCATAATACTGCTAGTGTATTTAGTGAGTAGGCTTTTTAATATATTTGTATGTTCTTGTTCTGTGTGCACTGCTGGCAGGGTGCTAGTTCACCCATAAGTCACTTTATATAAATGTATGTTTGTATTCTGTTTAAATCTCTGGCTCGGTGTTCATCCACTCATAATTCACATTGTATATATATGTGTTTATGTTCATTCACCTGTAAGTTTCTGTATGTTTATTTGATTATTAATTTTATTAACTTTAATGATTACTATTTTTTGAAATTAAAAACGCAGTTGTTGTCAAAAGTCTTATTTTTTTAAAAATCAATTATACAAAAATTTTAAATAGACTTTAAATTTAAAGAATAAAAAACTAATCTATATTATTATCTATTATACAGGCTAGGTCAGGAAATGGGAGCGATCACTCTCGAATACTGACCACGGAAATTGTATTTAGTTGCGAAAAACTGGCCAAGTTTTTTAGTTGTTTTGAGAACATTTAAGTTTATGTACGAAACAAAAAATTTTTGTTTTACGGACATACATGGAAACATAAAAAACTTAAATGTTCTCTAAACATCTTGGTGCGAAAGAATAAACAGAATATTCGCAAACACTAAAAACCCGCCAAATTAACGAACAAACTAATTCTATTGGTTCAAAAAATATGCTGACTAAGCAAAATAAAGTTCTAGAGTATTCTGTGGAAATATTTTAGAAATTGTATTATTCATGATTTGTTACGATTTGAGATTTTTAGCATAAATCGCTTTAATGATATATATTATTTGTTTACAAAAATAAATGTTTTAATTATATATTAAATAAATTGTCAAAATTTTAAAAGTTTAACATAAATTATAATTTTATTAGAATATTCTAATTTTTTTATTGAAAAAGAATGTATTCTTTATGTAAATGTAACTTTGTGTATCTGTTTTTTATCGTAATGTATCTTTTAAAGCAATTTTTATGATTTAAACAAAGACTTACAAAAAAAAGTTGCGTTTTCAATGAAGTTATAATCGTTAAAGTTAATAAAACTAATTATGTAACAAACATAAGAAGTTTCTGGTTACTAAACACAAACAATGCATACAAAGTAACTCGCGGATGAACAAGCACCGTGCCTGAGGTCACGAAAGAACACAAATATACATAGCAAATAATTAGAATAAGAAAAGTTTCTTGATATTGGTTTACTAACTCTAATTATTTTTAATTACCATTCTTAAAAACTCGTTATACTTTTTTCTGCTTCAAATACTAATTAAAATTAAAAAGCCCACTTACTAAACATCAGCGATATTGTGAAGCTGTTTCGCTTCCTCGTCATAAAGTATTTTTAGTTGATTTTTATCTTGTTAATTTATTTTCTATAGTTATTCAATGATTTCATTAATTCATTTGTTTATTTTACTAAGAAGAATTGCTTCAAATATGTTAAACTTTTCAAACTACGCGAAACATAAAATAGGTATTAAAAAAATTAACTTTTTTATTTATAAAATAATTTACCTTAAATAAAACTAAAACTTCCAAACTTTGTTTATTAAAAAATATTTGTTTCCTTTTTAAACAATTGAAAGTTGTTACTTTATATAAATAACATCGCTTAATTTTATGAAAAAAATTATAAAAGAACGATGTTTCGAAAATATTTATTCTAAACGTAATTTGTTTAGCTTTAAGTTTTTTCGCGTTTAAAGATATTTTATTTGCCTAATTTTTTTTTTTTTTGTAATCGTCTCTCATCGGTCCAATTAATCTTAAGTGCTTTTTTTTTTTGCTTTTTAAAATGTTCTCAAAGCGACTAAAAAATCTGGCCAGCTTTTTGCAACTAAATATTATTTACGTGGTCAGCAATCGAGAGCGATCGCTCCCGCTTCCCGACCAAACCTGATTATAATTATTAATAAAACTCAAATAACTTTATAAAGTTTAAAAAATAAAATTAAAAATTTTCTTTTTATAAACGATCATTTAAAAGTAAATTATCGCTTAGTTTAAAAACGCATTGGTAATATTAAAACATGTGATTACGAAAGATTATTTACAAATTTAATTATTTTAGCGCGTCAAATAGTTTCTAACATACATTGAAACATACATAAATTTAAATGTTCTCAAAACATTTAAAAAGCTGTGGTCAAGTTGTTGCAACTAAATAAAATTTGTGTGGTCAGGAATAGAGTGTGATCGCATCCGCTTCTCGACCAAGCCTGAAAATACCTTCTAGTTCAACTTCCATTAAAAATATTTAACTGTACCATGCTGAAGACATCAAGGTTCGATTAATTAAAAGACATGAAAGCTAACAAAATCAGATTTAACTTATCTATCTATAAATATAGTTCAATTAAGTCACGTTGTTATATCAACATTATTGAACACACCAATGGAAGCCTTTGTAATCTTGGAGTTGTACTTGTTATCGGAAGTATGCCATCTTAAAAAGCTGTTGAGATAGTAAGTGAAAAGTTGAGCGAATTCAAACTGGAACTTATTAATGATATTTTAGTACCACTAGATATGATGCATCTATGAATAAATTTAACCGTTTAATCAATCCACTACATCAACTACTACACAATAACGAAGATCTCTGTATAAAATCTCTTTATAAAGAATTTTCTGTCCTTGAGTCAACAAAAAAATGTACTTCTAATTTGGAGACTTTATTCAAAACTATCCAACCAACATCTGTTGAGTGTGAATAAGCTTTTAGTGCATGCGTATTGTTTGTAACCAAACTTAGGTGATGCTCAAATGATAACACTATTGATACCTTATGCTTTTTAAAAAGTTACTACAAAACTAATAAAAGTGATAAAAATTGGAACTAAAATAGGTTTGTTTATATGAAATGCTACAAAGAATTCATTTCAAAAAATTAACTGTGGTTATATATTTTAAAAATCAATAAAAATTTTGTGTAAAGTAGTTTTTTTTTATTTGTTTCTGAGTTAAAATTGGATTGGGATTTAAAAATCCAGGTAAGATCCGGATTCTAATTGTTTTGCCAGATCCATTATGCCTTATTTATAATGTTCTCTTTGTCATTAATAATAGGCGTAATTATTTAGAATTATTATTTTCCACTGTATAAATTAGATTTAGAGTAAACTGGGGGGTAATTTTGTCACTAACTCTTTAAATTTAAATAACTTGTGAACCAAAAATGGTAATAGAAAAATTTTTTATTGTTAATATTTTTTTAAACTACACAATTTTTTTTTTTTTTAATTATTCATTAAAAAGAACAGAAAAAGCAAGGTGATTAAATAGCCTCAATAAAATCTAGGTTAGGAGAATTTCACCATTTTTTTTAAATTTTAACATTTTTTTTTAATTTTTAAAACACATTTACAATCAGTTAAATAAAAGCATTCTAATATTCATTCATTCATTCTAATAATACTTAATATTAGGTGGTGGGGTTATGGGGATTTTAGTCAACTAAAAATAGTTTTACAATCATCATGCAAGTTAAAAAAACTTTTTAGTTTACAAATTATAATACATGAGAGATAGTTTAAAAACTTACTGTTTTCTACATTTTACCAAGCAATAAAGCTCTACTGTATTTTTTGGGTCGACATTTTTCACGAAACTATTGTCAACAAGTTTTTCTCACATTGCATCCAATGGTTTTGCTGATCATATTTTCACAATATTGAATGAATTTTGAAACTTTGCTTTGGTCATTTTTATTTTTACTGTCACTTCAATTGGTTTTGGTTTTTAGCTTTTTGGCTTCTGACTCTACTTTTGCTGCCTTCACTTGTTTAAATATCAATGATTTTGTGATGCAATTACCTTCAACAATAACTTTGACTCACTTTTTGGGCTTTTGATTTTAATTTCATATTTGCAAGTGCCTTTTGAAATTCCTTCAATTACTTAGCTCGCCAAGTAAGTGCATGAAGCCACTATTGCTGCTAAAATGTTTAGTGCTTGACTTAATTCATGTGACCAGCATTGCTTGAAACCCATGTACCACCCGATTGTTGGGTATTTATCTTGAATAAGGCAGTTTATTTTATTTATTTCAAATAGTCAAGCACATAATATTGAATTTCAGGGAGCAATAAGCTGTCACCTCAGTCACCTAGAACGTGAAGCATAAGAACCAGTAAGGATTTAGTCACGCTGCTAATCTACCAGCCCCGGCTATCCTTTCTGGATATTAAATTCTTCCTCCTAGTGTCCTTGGAGTTATACTGTTCAGCCTTCAGCTCACTTGCAACTTTTTTGCAATGGCTTTTTTATCACTATAATTAGTGGTAGATTTCTCTTTTAGTTTCAAGGCATTTTTTTAAATAATTGATCAATTCAATTAATTTTAATTGATTATAAGACCAAAATGACTTGCAAAATTATAAAAGTTGAGATACATCCATCGGTGGGGAAATTTCTTAAGTGGTGAAATTGCCCATTTTACTCTATACAAAAGTATTATAATTTTATTATTTTTTATGCTTCATATCATTTTTGATTTATTTTATTTTGCAGTTGATTTTTATTTTATTTGTTTTGGTTTCATAAATAATACTTGTTTTATAATTTTTTTTAAATTTATGTTATTTATGTGTTTTATCTACTCTATGTTTGTCTTTATACTCAATCAAGCTCTAATCAAAAATTTATTTACCTTAACTTAATTGTAGTTTGTTCTTCTCAGAGCCATTTACTACTTTTATGCAACCATTTGGCAAATTTGTATGTCAAAAATTTAAATAATACAAGTCCACAAACCTTTCTGTGTAATCTTAAAAATATATTTAAATATTTTCTTTTTACTCATATAGTTTTGTGTTCTTTATATATATTTAAATATGCCTTTCCATATAAAATAAGTTTTTGGTTCCGTGTGCTTAGATTTTTCTTCAATTTTATATTTAATGACTGAAATTTCATTGTTTATCAAGCATCTTAATGTAAATTATGGTTATGTAGCCATGGTTATTATCAGACTAAACAATTATGCAACCTAATTCAAAATAGGCTGAGAACTACTAATAATTTTTTTTGCTGCTGCTTGTTAACTAGCATTTATCTTTTTTTAACAATTTTTGTGTTCATCTGTTCTCATTTGTGTGACTTAAAAACATTTTCTTTTTTCATATTTTTATTTCTATTAATTGAATTTTATTTACTAATGTATTTTATTAGCCATTTCGAAAATGTAAACTCTGCACCAGATTTTTATATGAAAATGGGACAACTGATACAGGATCTTATGAGTGATGATTTTGTTAATGTTCAAAAGTTAATACAAGTAGGTTAATTTTTTATTTATTTTTTGCTTTGTGCAATTTAATTCAAATCTAACACCGAATAAAAATAAAACATAATACTTGTTGTCGAAATTGTTAATAAATCAGTTTATATAGTCTGTGTATCAAATGGCTTCGTTTCCATGGAAAATGCTTGTTGAGTTGCGTGAAAAGTATACCTATGATATTCATCCGTTTACAACTTTCAATACTGAAAAAAAAGCAGAAAAATATAACAAAGTCAAAAAATTTGGTGAGTTAGTATCTGTACTTTATTGCACAATTTTTATTGTTTCCTAAATTCTTTTGTATAAACATATATATATATATATATATATATATATATATATATATATATATATATATATATATATATATATATATATATATATATATATATATATATATATATATATATATATATATATATATATATATATATATATATATATATATATATATATTAGGGGTTGCTACCAACCCTCAAGCATTAAATAGGTCTCTAATATTATCCAAAAAAAAGTTTTTTTAAAATGTCATGTTGGGCCTCAAAAAAAGCAAAATTATCGGGTGGACACGGAAATATCCGGTCAACTTTAAATTGTGATTTCTCTAAAACCACAAAGGCTTTTTATTTCTTTTATTTTTTTCATTAAACGATACTTCCTTATCTTTAATTGAGTAGATAAACTTTTGTTTGACTGTTATATATATATATATATATATATATATATATATATATATATATATATATATATATATAAGATATATACTCCTAGATATAAACTATTCAATGGTTATATTTATGTAGTAAGTGATGAAGAAGACAGTGCTGCTGATGATCAAGTCCCAGGCTGCTTAGGTTTTGTAAATGTTCAGCACGATCACGTAACTAACAAAAAATCAGAGCATCTAAAGAAATCTGCATCAAATGGAAAATCAGATATTACTAAAGTTACACCAGGTATTTTACTAAAGTTCAAAGAGTTAGGCTACACCTTGTATACCTTATATCTGGAACGTTCTTATAAGCTTAGACAAGATATTCATAGTAAAATTCTTTTTCATCATCTAATTTTTTTTTCTTGTTACTTTTTAATTGGTAACTTTAGTGGGAGTTTTTTTTAAAGGAATACATTACAAATTATAAAACATTTGAAACATTTGCATTGTTAATTAATAATTTTTGATTAATAATGTTGTATTAATCAATAATAATGTTGATTAATCTTCATTTTAATAAGTATTATGTTTGATATAAATTATTTATGTTCATAACAAATTATGAATACGTTCTGAATTATAAATTCTTCTTTGACAGGAGCCTATATAACAGATAGAGAATCGCAAAACACATATGAAGAACAAATGAAAGAAAATGAGCGGATAAGAGAAAACGAAAAATTAGATTTGGCTGCTTTACAGTCACAGTACGGTCGCATGAGGAGGCTTCAACAAAATGCTATGATAGTTTTTAACTCAGACAATTTTAAGAAAGATACTAATTCTTTGAAAGTATCACCAAGTGCTATTAATCATCTCTTTGTTGATGTGTCTAAAGTGGCTCCACCTAGAATAAGATACTCTAGGAGATCTCGTAAGCAGTTTCCAGCTCTAAAAGCTCCTAGTAAAGGAGTTCCTTCTCTCATACCCGTTAAGGATGATATGGTCATAAAGGATGGTGATGAAGACGTTATAGTACATGTTCAAAAAACGACAATAAATTCGATTGAGTCTAAACCCTACGAAGCTTCTGAAATCGGACAACTTTTTGAAAGAGGCTTGGAAAAAAAGGACTATCAGAACGATAACGGCAGTGTAATTAACTCTAATAGCTTTCCTACCAGTCCAATCAACTTAAAACTAGATTTAAATTCATCTGGTAATGCGGGTTTTCAGAAATTGAAAAACACAAATAAAAAAAAACTTTTACCCATCGTAAATGAAACTGATTTAAAATCTTCATCTGGATTATTTAACGTTGATCGTTCTGCTATTTATCCACCAAATTTTAATCCTTTCCCCGAAAGAAACTGCTCAAATAAAAAATGTTTGCAAGTCAAATAAGCATGGTTAAATGAAACTTACCTATTCGTTGTAAAACAAAAGTGTATGTAAGTTTTACGTAAATATTTGTGGCGTTGGGCTCATCTTGGTTTGTGTAATGGTAAACGTGGAATAATTGGTTATCGCCTTCTGACAATAAACAAGAAGATAAAATATTGGCTTCTAATCTTAATGCTTTGGTGATAGAGATTTATACAACTTTTTTGCTAAAATTGTAAATATTTATTTTTGATTAAATTATTTCTATAGGAATTATGCACCATATGGTGTATGTGCTTTTTTTTCCTTATCTTTTTAGAAAGTTCGCATAAATTCTGTTTTTTTAGAGCAGTGTTGTCGTAAATTTAAAATTATGGTTAGTGTTTAAAAATGCTACATGAAACATGTACTATATATACACGTGTATATGTATGATTCATTTTAATTTACGTTTTGCTCAAAACAACTTAATGAAAATGTTCGCGTTAGGGTATTTTTTATTTTCCGTTAAAATTATCTGGTTTCACGTGTATCCATTCCAAAAATTATTACAAATTAAATAAAAATGTTAACAGTAATGCGAGAGAAATATAAAACAACCAATTCTATTTTCTAAAATACACAAGAACCAATCATGCATTTTCAGTATATAATAGAAAAATAATATAAAGATCAATTTTCGTATTAAGTCTTGAATCATAAATTATTTATTGTGAAGGTCGTTTTAAATGACCTAAAATTCCCCTGAGAACTACTTGCTATTTTATGTGAACGTTTGGGTTGAGATGCCACAATTTTAAGTTGCCGGAAATTTTTGTTGTTATGTCGTAATAATACCTCATATAGTAAAAGTCTTTCTCAATCCAATATACCTATCGTTGAAATGATTGCAGAGTTTATACCAATTTGTAAAATTCATTTACTGCAATAAGCATACTTTGGTAATTATTTATCAATCAAAGGCTAATCATTGGAGTGTGAAATAGCAACGTTAAAACCATTATCATGTCTATTTTCTTGCCAGATTCCAAAAAAACTGCATTCAGAAAAGTATTGATGTTAAGGCGAGTTTCCACTCATCCGTTTTTCAACGGGAACGGGATAGGAAAGGAAAAAATAATCACGTGAGCATGCGTAATAAAAGTTTTTATTTGTCCAAAAGAAAACTGTGCATGCTCTCGTGATTATTTTTCCCTTTCCCGTAGAAAAACGGATGAGTGGAAACTCACCTTTAGTACCACTTGAAAATGTACATGCAATATATATATATATATATTTTATATATATATATATATATATATATATACATATATATATATATATATATATATATATATATATATATATATTAATTTTATTTAGGTGCCCCAAGAAGTTTTTACGGTCATATCACAGAGCACCACGGATGAGCATTTAATTGAAAGTTCACGCCTCCTTCCTAACCGATGTCGCAAAACATGCCCAGAGGTGGGGTTTAAACCACAAATCCTTTGTTTCTGAGGCAAGTGCGCCACGGCTGCTGAATCAAGATAGAATCATCATTAACATAGCACGGGCGAGTACTTATAAATCCAAATTAGTTACACTTTATCGAAATCTACAACCGTGTTGATGTCGAAATCTACAACCGTGTTTTCTACAACCGTGCTGATGCCTACATTCAGAAAATAACACCTAGGAAAAATTTTGTCAGGATCTAAGAAAAAAGACGTTTTAGTATAAATACAAAAGTCCATTATTTTTACTTAAATACGCAATAAATGTTTTATTCAATCATGAGTTATTCCAAGATTGTTACATATTTTAAAAACTTTTATAGTCTCACAATAGCTTTTTTTTATGGGTAATATGGTCTCATAAATAATAATTATTGAGTTATTGGACAAAATCTGTAAATAAATTTTTTGACAAAAATTTTGAAATAATTTTACTCTGCAATGTTAAAAAACCATACTCATGCCTTGCGTTAGGTTAATGTCTTTATCTGTTTAATTATGTTCTAATACACATAAAACCATATTAAGACGTGATGTCTAAATATATTATATTTTTATACATACGAACTGCGAATATAAAATTAATTTTATATTCATAAAATTGAAACAAAAGGTTTATAAAAATTATGTTAGTTTTAAGATAAAATTGAAACTAAAGATTTATAAAAATTATGTTAGTTTTTTTAAAACATAAATGTCTCCAATTAAGTTTTGAAATGCGCATGTCTTCTGTAATAAGTTATAACTGACCTTAGAGGTTCCAATTAATACAACTTGTGACAACTTGGAAATTTTTTTATTCTTGCTCATAGAACCGTTTGAAGTCATAATTAACAGTTTCAGAATTCTGAAACTGTTAATTATGAAGTTTGAACCGTTTGAAGTCATAATTAACCGTTTCAGAATTCTGAAACTGTTAATTATGACTTCAAACGGTTCTATGAGCAAGAATAAAAAAATTTCCAAGTTGTCACAAGTTGTATTAATTGGAACCTCTAAGGTCAGTTATAACTTATTACAGAAGGCATGCGCATTTCAAAACTTAATCGGAGACATTTATGTTTTAAAAAAACTAACATAATTTTTATAAATCTTTAATTTCAATTCAAAGCTTCGAAGCTTTGATCAAAAAACAAGATGTCTAAGATGTTTTTCAGCTACGGATAACTGGAACATGCACTTTAGGAGATAAATTTTCTTTCAACACAATATATATTTTCTTGTATGTTATGATGTGATCCTTGTAAGATATTCCCAATCTTAAACAAAAAAAAGTTTTTTTCACATTATTTAGTGTTTCGAATTTAAGAATATTGTCTAATGTTTTTATGAATTTAAGAATATTGTCAAATATTTTCATGAATTTAAGAATACATTTTAATTTTTTTATTAAACCCTATTGTTTTATTCCACATATTCATAAAAACTGATAATTCTATTTCGGACAGCATTTTATCATGTATGTTATACAAAAGGTTTGTATTTCCAGAAAACGAGTGAAGCTCTATTTTCGAAAGCATTTCTGAACCAAGTGCATCATCTGTAGACCTAGCAAAGGATTTTTGACACAATTTTTTAAGACTGCAGCAAAGAGTTTACTATTTTTTTTGGTGAGTTTCACAAGTCCTTTTGTACTGTTCTGCATTATCTCTAATCATACTAAGTTTTTTGAAAAAAGCCTAGATTAAGTTCCTGAGTGAAAATATCCAATTTGAATTTTTAATTATGCAAAAAAAAAAAAATTTAATAATAATAAACTGATTTCCAATTACCTTGTATGATCACAGATTGTAAAATTCTGCATGTCCTGCTTTGACTGATCACATCAACTGCAGAGGTGAGTATAGGAAGTTGTTTTTTTTTTCGTGCCATATAAGTATATATACAAACAATCAATATTTCAGTATAAATACAGATGGCCGGGACAAGAAGAAGACACATTTGTCTTATCACCAAGCCCCGAGAATTGACTCCGTAAAATAAAAATTATTACTTACAGCATATGTAATTGCAACCAGTATATAAAAAATAAGATTTTTTGGTAATAAATATACAAAAATAGTAAAAATATATAAAAAGAGTAATAAATACATAAAAAATAAAATTTTGCAACATATAGCTTTTGAAAAAATTTATACTCTTTTGAAAAAATCATATAAAAAGTTACAAATTAGAAAAAACAAAATGTTGGTTTAACTCTTAAGAAAAGAATAAATAAAAAGATGTTAATTAAAATTAAATACTAATTAATATTATTAATCAAAAGTAAAGTAGATAAGGATCTGAATCTCCCCCCAAAAATATATATATATGTATATATAGGTTATGATTCGCCCAAAGTGACAATAGGTTGGAAAGATAAACTTTAAAATAAATTAAAAAAGCTTATCTGTACTACCAGATAACTTTAGAAGAAGTCATGCACTCCGTCACTAACCGGAAGCATTTATTTCAATTTTACTTTGAAATCGTTAGGAGTTTCATGAGTTTTAAGTTTATTAGATTAAAATTTGTTCCATACTTTTGGCCCTCTAATAGATATTGAAAACTCCGTTGCTGAAAAAAAACTTTTAGGCTGAATATAAGTGTTGCTTGAGTATCTGGTTAAGTATCTATCTTTATTTATTATGAATAACGATTTAAAAAAGTAAAGTGTTATTTTTGAATTAATTTTGAACATAAAAATTAAAAGATGATAAATGTTTATTTGGTAGACGGTGAGTATATTTAACTTTATAAATAGTTCTTTAAAGTGTGTAAAACGGTCTACATTAGATAATATTCTGATAGCATGCTTTTGCTTATTAAAGAGTTTTTTAATTTTGTTTTGATTTGTGCTACACCAAGCTATGTTTGCGTAATTCAGATAACAATGAGTAAAAGAGAAATATAACAGTTTTAAACAAGTTTGATTTAATAAAGGCCTCGCCTTATTAAGTAATCCTATATTTCTCGAGATTTTACCTTCAAGATAATGTATATGATCTTTCCAAGTTACGTTTTCATCAAGGAGAACGTCTAGAAATTTTAACGAATGTTCTCTTTTTATAGCTTGACTATTAATACAAAGTATTGGAAGTTTTAAGGGGATTTTATCGCGTTCATTAAAGCGATGGAAAAATGTATACTTTGTTTTAGTTAAATTAGGTCTAACCACTACGCCGCGGCTGCTCAATGTCTTCAATATAATCATAAAAATTATACTACAGTCTGCGTACATTTAAAAACATAATTATCCTAAGATTGGTCAGGTGTTTCCTGATAGCATCTCTAAACTGATGATATTCTTTATAATTTTATGTTTTTTGAATAACCCACAATTTCCTTTGGAAAAGCAACAATAATTTTCATAAAAATTGTTTTGCTTCATATTCAACTGAAAAAGAAGTTCTATTTATGCAGCCCCTAATACATGTAATAAAATATCTAAAGAATTTTTAAAATTTAGTAAAGTATTCTTGATTGTGAAAAACTCTATAGAGTTTTGGCTCAAAACCCAGAGGTCCATCGTTCGACGCTGGCTCTAGCCATAGAGACATAACGACATTGGTACGGAAGGAGGTGTGAACTTCTAGTTAAATGCTCTCCCGCGGTGTTTTGTGATAAAACTGTAAGGACTTTTGGGAGCACCTAAATAACTACAAACAAAATTCTCTTTAAACAAAATAATCTCTAAATTAATTCTACATGTGCAATAATTATAAATGCCCACAAAACGCTACGTCTCCAATGCGTTATACTTAAAAACTCTTTAGATTTTTGTTAATTAAGTTATAA